TGGCAGGAGCAAATCTTTTTGGGACTCTAACGTCAGGAAAATGAAGACAAATCCTTCGAATGGTGAAGACACTTGAAGGAACAACAAAAGAATCGAAAGGAGCTTAAAGATCTTAATATTTTGCCCTTGTTTTTTACGTCACGAGGTGACGTAGAACATATACATGCACATACACACGACAGCTATTTAAGAAATTGTCCTGTTTAGCACACAACAAGTCTACTTCAATTCTCGAGGCATACCACACCAATAAAAGGAGTCCTTAAATTGTAAATATGTAGTTTTAGTTTAGTGTTTTTTTTTTAATTTTTTAATTAGAACTGACGACATTTAAGCTTGATTTTTTTGACACTTATAATGAAAAAGAATTATTGATATAATGTAGAAGCAGATGACGATGTAGGCCTACTTCTTCACAAGTTGACACTCCAATGCATTGTTAAGTTTATTTTTTTATTATTTATTTTTATTTTTTATTATTTTTTATATATTATTTTTTTTTGCATAACGTCAAACGAATTAAGACACATTACTCACTGAATCAAGCATTTACTTTCTATCGTATTTTTTAGTTCGGCCATTTGTGCTTCTATTGTGTTCTTCCATCCTGGAGATAAATAACAGAAAAAAATATAAAGTTTATGAGAGAATATATTGCTTAAGTTACGCGTAACGCCACGTTATGCGTCAGTGAACTTATTTTATAATTAAAACATAATGTTGAGGGGGGTGTTTTGCGTTTTTATTCATCGTCACATCGCTCCCCTTTGTGACGCGCGCTGATTACATTTATTGAGTAACTAGCGGTCTATTTTCTCATTTACATAAAATACGAAAATATTAATTTAAAAAAGTTAATGAAATCGGTGGGTGAAATAAATAGAATTTTATTAATTCATATATTTTCCGAAAAATCGCTCGCAAATCGCGTCGCCTTCGCGCATGGATGCAAGAAGCGACGTCTAAAAGTATATCGATTTTTTTTTTTTTGTTTTTGTTTTTTTTAATTTTTAAAATTAAACTTTTTTGCTTTTTTTTTTTTTTTAAAAATATTATATAATTTGCATATTTAATAAAGTAAGATTTAAAAAATAATAATAATAAATCGTTAGAATCGCGAGTTATTTATCGTCGGCGCACGCGATGTGACGCGGCGAGGTGATTTTTTAACGCGGCGCTTAGAGAACGACAGTAAACTTTTATACTAAGCATCATTAACTTATAATTTATGCCATACTTGTGAAGTCATCTTGTTCTTCTGCTTCTGCTTCAGCCGCTATTTCTGCAGGAGTTTTCTTTCTTCGATTGAGACTACCTTCAGGCATAGGTTGGTTCAATGGATCAATTTCTTTTTCTTCTTTCTTCTTGATGCCGTACTGTAAATAAAAAACTAAATAATAAAAAGAATTCAAACTAAAAAAAAAATCTACACCTTGTCTNATATAATTAAAAATAAATTTGGCATGAATTACTATTATTATTTTATTACAAAATACATTTTTAATTAAATGCATAAGCATATAATTATAAATTTGTCAGAAAATTGTATTTGGTAGACAGTAACTATTTTGTATGTAACTCGGGAAATAATTAAATTTTAACCTTAATGAAGCTGTTTGTAATTTGAATTTTAGCATTTTATATTAATTATAATAAACGTAAATATATATTCGTACAGTCGGATGCTATACGAAGCTACGCGATGCGACGTGTCGCTAACGCCATCATCTCTTCTATATATTGCTCACCATTTTATGCATTTTATCAAGCCCCACATACATTCTTTAATATAAACGAAGGTTTTATAATGTTATCGTATCGTGTAGTGCTAAAATCTTATGTATTGAAACGGCTCTTTCATAAAGGTTTAGACCACTTTGCTGCGATGCGACAACATATATTGGTTACCACGTGCATTAGACTTGCATACACTCTTTTAATTAATACAGTAGAACCTGTAAACGGTGGCCATTTTTACAGGATGGTTTCTGTTCCAAACAGCGGCCAATTTTTTATGTCTATTGTACAGAAGTTCGACTGTACATTAAAAGAATGGGAAATAATTGACAAACCTCAAGAAAAACAAAAACATCACATAACTTTATTTTTCAAAATTTATTACAGTTGATTTTTTTTCTTTCATTGTTAAGAATATTCTTAATACCACTTTACATAATTTTGTATGCGCTCATGCACCAAGTGCATGATTCAACAATACAACTGTATGTAATAATTCATTCTCGAGACAAATACAGACAACTTTCTCAAAGCTATTTGTTTTAAGTTACAGTCTATTCAGTTGATTTACTCGACACACACGACGTCACTCAAGATTCAAAAAAATTAAAAAATAAAACCCAAAAAATATTTAAATAAAATTCCAATATCGAGTCATTTGTATAAATGACATTTAAAGAGATTTCCTTTTTCTTAATATATATATGTATATATACACTGTATTATTTGCATTTTAAATACAAGTTTAAAGGTTATATGACGATTTTTAAATTGAGATTACAAAATTTCACGCCTACAAATAGATGATTGCACGATATTCGCGTGTTTTGCAAAGGTTTTATTTATATTCTATCATTTTTCTGCAGGTTATACGAAGCAAAATGCATATAGTGTAACGATTTACGTTAATTCATAAACTGATGGGGTCGAAGAAACACAAGTTTCTAATTGGAGGAATGGTAAAAAATAGGTGTTTACGAATAGACTGTAATTATATTATTGCTCATATAATTAGATTTTCTGTTGGAAAATCTTGGAAAATTGGTATATCACTACGAAAACGTTCCTAATTTTCGTTTCTTTTAAAGAATACGAAGATAAAAATCAATTTTCCCGCACTATTATGTAATTTATAATGGTATATTGTATACAATTGTAAAATGGGAAGTGTAACATAATAACATTAGTAATAATTAAGGTTTTCACAGGGATTATACAAAGAGAACGGTTACTAGGTGCTATATATGTGTATACACTAAGGCTCAACAGTTAATTTTGTAAGGAAGTAAATTTGTGAAAATGTATTTTAATTTGTGTATTGAATAATAAGATAGTTTTAACGCTTTTTACAGCTTTATACATAGTAGAATTAGAATTAAGTTAATTGTAAATATATATAATGTATAATATATACAAATTATAATAATATTTCGAGCTACACAGCTTCTCAATTTAAAATAATAGAGGATGCTGTTGATACTCCTGATGCTTTTGATCAACAACAAATTCCATATAGAAAAGCCAGTATCCTAGTATCAATACTACACTTCAATAAATAAATTTTTTAACATATTTTATATTGAACTTTAAATAAAAAAAATAACATATATTTTCTTTTTATTTAAAGCCAACTCGTAGATATTCTTTACGAGGATTTNCTCTTAATTTTATTTATTTATTATTATTATTATTATTTTATAATGAAATTTTCTTTTAAAAATCCCGAGCGAATTTAAAAATATGCGCGATCGAATAAACGATCGATCGCGCAACATAATTAATAAAACCCGACTGATATACTGTATTTCTTACATTAGATATCATTCATACAGCTTTAATAATTGATATATTTTTCCCACTTTCGAGGTCACTAAACTGCAATTTATTGTAGGAGAGTGAAGCGAAACTCTGCCAATTCGCTTACTTACGATACTTCATCATTGTTATTATTATTATTATTATTATTATTTTAATAAATCTATATAACATTCACCATGGGGATTAGTAAAAGTACAAACTGAAGTAGAACCACAACTCGGTGCACTCTATCACAATTAGGGATTAGTAAAATTAAAATGAAAAACATACAATTAGGGGTGGATATAGAAGTCGAAATGAAAAATCTACAGTGCTACGCGGTCGTTGTCGAAAACCATAGTTTGATCATTGACGTCAAAGTCGTATCGTGGAAGGTGGTGTGTTAGTGTATAGTACAAGTGACTAACTAAAATGGAGCACTCTACCAAGGCACTTACACCATGCAATTTGGTATGAATACAACAAGAAACTATCTAAGGCTATCTTACTACATTCTATAACACCACGGGACATATAATTGTTTTTTTTTTATCTTTTTTTTTAATAATACAAATATAGCTTCTTTCTATATTCTGTATTGTTTTTTTTTCTTAATGGTTCCAGGAATATTGAGGCGGGATGCCTGTTTTTTTGTGATTTTTTTTAGCAGTCTGCATGTTGATGTTAGCAAGACAAAGGCTTGTTTTTCCTGTGGCATTTTGTTAATTAACTCAAAAAAAAAAATAAAAAATAAAATAAAATAATCAAAATGATAAAAGACTAAAGAGATGATTCGCGATCATTTTTACTTATTATTATTATTATGTTTATATATATATTATATATATAATAGCGAGAGTTAAAAGGCAGCTAATGGCTTACCAAACATTTACTTACAGGTACACTAGTGCGCAGAATACCGACACAAAACGGAGGAGAAACATGAAATAACGTCACTGACATCACTACTAACTTGGTTAATATTAAATTAAATATATATATATATATATACCTTTTACATAGATTCTACGTAATGTTTAAAATATTTAACGTGCTAAAGGATGAGTAATTTCCTCTTTATGCATGGATTTACAGATGGATACAATCACCTAAACCTTAAATAAAGCGGGTTATTTTCATAAATTTAAAGCTTTTAGAATTAATTTTTCCACTTAAAAAAAAATATTTTTTTTACTTAAGTTTATAATTAAATAAAGTTTGGTTAAGGAAATTAATTTTGTATAAGGTCTTTTTCCTTTTAAAAAATACCAAGGAAAACATCGAATAAAAATTGTAAAAGCCAATAAATATCCAGAATAAAGTCTAGGTAAAGTGGTTAATGAACCTTTTAGAAGAATCACGCTTGTGAAAATTTAATACAAAACTCGTTAATGTTACAGCCGAGTGTGATATTGAATTTCTTATGAAATCAATTTTATCCGTTTGATAAAATAAAATAAAAAAAAGGGGAGACTTATTTTGTACAATAATACTAGAAAGCAATATCGAAAGTACGAAACAGAAAGAAAATTGCAATATTGGACAGTGAGGTGTCAGTATAACTTTGTCTTCCCTCTTTTTTTTCCTCTATATTAGAGTGAAACAAGTAAAGAGAACAGAAAAATAATCTTCTAAACAAAGTTTGGCACAAATAGGATAAAACTTTGATTCCAAACTCCAAGTTAAACAGATTGTTTTGAAATGTCGTATGATGGCTTTGGATGTAAACTGAATGATTTCTCATATATATATATATATATAAAGGATACTGAATTCTTTATTTTACAAGAAACCAATGCATATATTAAACTTCTCATGCAGAAGAATGTGTTGAAGGGAGAAGAATTGGATCAAAATAAAATTCGCTTCGAAACTAACTTAAATGGGAATTTTTCTACACAATCTTATATAATCGTATTTTAAGGATGCCACACGCTCCTTTGACTTTTTTTTATTCGAATTTTATGAAATTTTTAAGCTTTTTTCTACTAAGTCTATCGTACTAAACAGATAGAAAAAAAATCTCTCTCAGTTTTTTTTTACGCTGCTCTACGAGAGAAAATTGCAGGAAAAAAGGTAAAAAATAAAATTAAATTTAAATGAATTTAAATCATTTAAAGCCTTAAATTCTAACATCAACATTTAAGTACTGATTGCGTGGGTATCGCTGCGCGTACGATCGCGTCGCGTTGCTTAGCGCACCTATTTATCCAGCCTATTGATTTTTCTGTCAAGTTTACATTAGCGCATATAACTTTTACGTATCTACGAGTTAATAGCAAAAACACATTCATCTAGCGATTGTTAGTGGGTTTTCGACCCGACGTCACCATACGAGCGCGATGCTAAGCGACGTTAGTTAACACACCACGCTTTAAACATAGTTAAGTGTTTAGTTCTGGACGCATTATAATTTTGTTTTCTTTTTAATAATACAATTCCTGGGGATGAATTAGTAAACGTTCTGTAACGTCACCGACTAGATACACGAAGAACGTTCGCGTCGCGTCGGCGCGCTACGATGCGAAGCGATGATTTCCTTTCATTTGTTTTCCACTTATTACACAAACTCACCTTAATTATAACCAGTTCAGTTATATTTTATAAATATATATATATAACCATATTTAATAATATTGAAGCGAATCTCACCCCTGTCATGAAGAAAAAATAATATTAATAAATATACACATATATATCATAATGTTAGCTTACGAAACGAAAAAAAAAAACAATAGTAACACCAGATTTTTTCGATTAGTAAGCCCATATAATACCATTAAACACCGATATATTTGTATATATATATGTGTACAGTACATATATATATATACATAGAACATATAGATATAGCGAGATACATTCAGCACATGAAAGATTTCCTTCAATTTTTGGGGGTACTTAATTAATTTTTTCAAAATTTTTGCTGTATTTTATGGGCATGCTTCACGAGTATTTATATATATATATAATATGTATATATATATATATATATAAATCATTTTCGTTGTGTGGACTCTAACGTCAGGAAAATGAAGACAAATCCTTCGAATGGTGAAGACACTTGAAGGAACAACAAAAGAATCGAAAGGAGCTTAAAGATCTTAATATTTTGCCCTTGTTTTTTACGTCACGAGGTGACGTAGAACATATACATGCACATACACACGACAGCTATTTAAGAAATTGTCCTGTTTAGCACACAACAAGTCTACTTCAATTCTCGAGGCATACCACACCAATAAAAGGAGTCCTTAAATTGTAAATATGTAGTTTTAGTTTAGTGTTTTTTTTTTTTAATTTTTTAATTAGAACTGACGACATTTAAGCTTGATTTTTTTGACACTTATAATGAAAAAGAATTATTGATATAATGTAGAAGCAGATGACGATGTAGGCCTACTTCTTCACAAGTTGACACTCCAATGCATTGTTAAGTTTATTTTTTTATTATTTATTTTTATTTTTTATTATTTTTTATATATTATTTTTTTTTGCATAACGTCAAACGAATTAAGACACATTACTCACTGAATCAAGCATTTACTTTCTATCGTATTTTTTAGTTCGGCCATTTGTGCTTCTATTGTGTTCTTCCATCCTGGAGATAAATAACAGAAAAAAATATAAAGTTTATGAGAGAATATATTGCTTAAGTTACGCGTAACGCCACGTTATGCGTCAGTGAACTTATTTTATAATTAAAACATAATGTTGAGGGGGGTGTTTTGCGTTTTTATTCATCGTCGCATCGCTCCCCTTTGTGACGCGCGCTGATTACATTTATTGAGTAACTAGCGGTCTATTTTCTCATTTACATAAAATACGAAAATATTAATTTAAAAAAGTTAATGAAATCGGTGGGTGAAATAAATAGAATTTTATTAATTCATATATTTTCCGAAAAATCGCTCGCAAATCGCGTCGCCTTCGCGCATGGATGCAAGAAGCGACGTCTAAAAGTATATCGATTTTTTTTTATATCGTTTTGCTTATATTAAATTTTAAAAATAAAACTGTATGCATTTATTTTTTTTTTAAAAATATTATATAATTTGCATATTTAATAAAGTAAGATTTAAAAAATAATAATAATAAATCGTTAGAATCGCGAGTTATTTATCGTCGGCGCACGCGATGTGACGCGGCGAGGTGATTTTTTAACGCGGCGCTTAGAGAACGACAGTAAACTTTTATACTAAGCATCATTAACTTATAATTTATGCCATACTTGTGAAGTCATCTTGTTCTTCTGCTTCTGCTTCAGCCGCTATTTCTGCAGGAGTTTTCTTTCTTCGATTGAGACTACCTTCAGGCATAGGTTGGTTCAATGGATCAATTTCTTTTTCTTCTTTCTTCTTGATGCCGTACTGTAAATAAAAAACTAAATAATAAAAAGAATTCAAACTAAAAAAAAAATCTACACCTTGTCTACTTTTTATTAAAAATGAAGTTTTTATTTAAAATATATATATATATATATATATGTGTGCCTTTCAAGTAAATATTCTTTCAACAAACCAACCTATTGGATAGTCTAGAATTAAAAACAGACCTTTTATAATAGATTTTAATTTGATTTAGGACCGTCTAAATTTTTAATTTTATGTATATATGTATATATACACTGTATTATTTGCATTTTAAATACAAGTTTAAAGGTTATATGACGATTTTTAAATTGAGATTACAAAATTTCACGCCTACAAATAGATGATTGCACGATATTCGCGTGTTTTGCAAAGGTTTTATTTATATTCTATCATTTTTCTGCAGGTTATACGAAGCAAAATGCATATAGTGTAACGATTTACGTTAATTCATAAACTGATGGGGTCGAAGAAACACAAGTTTCTAATTGGAGGAATGGTAAAAAATAGGTGTTTACGAATAGACTGTAATTATATTATTGCTCATATAATTAGATTTTCTGTTGGAAAATCTTGGAAAATTGGTATATCACTACGAAAACGTTCCTAATTTTCGTTTCTTTTAAAGAATACGAAGATAAAAATCAATTTTCCCGCACTATTATGTAATTTATAATGGTATATTGTATACAATTGTAAAATGGGAAGTGTAACATAATAACATTAGTAATAATTAAGGTTTTCACAGGGATTATACAAAGAGAACGGTTACTAGGTGCTATATATGTGTATACACTAAGGCTCAACAGTTAATTTTGTAAGGAAGTAAATTTGTGAAAATGTATTTTAATTTGTGTATTGAATAATAAGATAGTTTTAACGCTTTTTACAGCTTTATACATAGTAGAATTAGAATTAAGTTAATTGTAAATATATATAATGTATAATATATACAAATTATAATAATATTTCGAGCTACACAGCTTCTCAATTTAAAATAATAGAGGATGCTGTTGATACTCCTGATGCTTTTGATCAACAACAAATTCCATATAGAAAAGCCAGTATCCTAGAATCAATACTACACTTCAATAAATAAATTTTTTAACATATTTTATATTGAACTTTAAATAAAAAAAATAACATATATTTTCTTTTTATTTAAAGCCAACTCGTAGATATTCTTTACGAGGATTTTAAATCCTATTGGCTTATATTCAACTTTAGCGAGTATCGACCTAGAGTAGGAAATCGTTCCATCAAATGGAACGTCGAGCATTTTGCTTATTCTTCTCATTCCATTGGAAATTTCGTGTGTATATGTATGTAGTCGAGTTTTCATCCATATATCTTTCCTCTTGTCAATGGATATTCCATCATGAATACTTGTCATAACAAGAAAACTGATGATAAGGGCAACTTGAGATTTACTACTCTTTGCCACTTATCTTTCATAAATATAATAATAGATAAATACTCAAAGTATAATCAAGAATTTTACATTGCTCAACGACAAGTAAAACTTCTCTGAGATTATAAATAATATTTTTTACTTTATTTTTTTGCTAAGTTACTATTGAGATATCAAAGAAAATGGCGTATAAATCCTTAGTATAGAAGGGGGATATGAAAAATTATGCTGTGATAGATAACATAAATTTGAATTTTTGTATATTTTATGGTTAAAAGATTTATTGAAGAACCCTTTTTTGTGTTTTTTGTGGCTTATTTCTTATCAAAAAAAGTATTTAAATTTTTTTTTGGGAGAGATAAATCATATCTTTCAGGCAGTTATGAATGACACCAACTTGTTCAAATTTAAATATATTTATCATCTACTTCTTTAAAAATATATATATTTCATGTATAATAGCAGTAAATTTATTGATATTTTCTTAATTTATTGTTATAAATTAAAATATGTAACAGGTATAAACTACGATGCGACATGATACGAATGACGAGTCATCAATTGAATATTGTTATTATTTTTTGAAATGTTTAATATTTAATTGTTTTATATTATTATAAAATATAATGAATTGTTTATTAATGCGGAATAATTTTTAAAAAAATATGGTAATCTCCACGTATATGTAAGAGCAATGCTGAATAGAAATACTCCTCTTGATCTCTCCTCTCCTCAGGAGGAGAGATGCTCTTTCTAAGAATCAAGAGCATCCTCCTGATGAACCTGATGCTCTTGATTATCATCGACTTCAATATGAAAGAGCCATCATCCTAGTATCAATTAAAAATATACTTTGATTAGTAAAATTTTAAAAAGTTCCTACTTACAATATAGTAACGAGTTACAGGTTACAGCTGAAATTACGAAGCTACTTGAGGAAAAACAATGCAACATTTGTGAGATCTCCAGGAGGGATTTTCTATAGAAAAACTGGCTACTATTTATGTGTTAGACACGCGAAGAAAACAGAAAATCCACATGTCTAGCCAGTCCTTTGATAAAACTACTACCAGTGTTTAATAGTTTTATCCACTCGATAAATGGTGGGCAATTTGGTAAAAGTGGAAAGGCCTCTTGTATGCCTTCACAGCACCAAATTGTTAAGCTATAGGACCAAAAGTCTAATTGTGTTCCCGTTTATGCAAATCTTCATTAAAAACATCTCTTTTCATGTACAATTTTTGAGATTTAATATATTTTACTATTGTATAAGAATGGAAGTATAAAAATTTACCTTATCTCTTATTTCTTGTCTCATTCTTTCCCTTTCTTCTTCCAACTTCCTATGCTTTTCTTTTCTCCTTTCTTCGGCTTCACGCAGCGCTTCCAATCTCTCCTGTTCAGCTTCCTCAGCAGCTTCTTTGTCTTCTGTAGATTCTCCATCACCTCCTATCTGACCTGAGATAATTAAAATTAAGATTAGATATTCACAACGTCGTGTTAAGGTCACCTGTTGAGAGAAATTCTTGTATAAGTTACTTTTTTCGATAATTAAACTGTAACTTTTTAAATGATATTACAATGATTTTCGCCTTTCAATTTAATTAACTGTTAAACATAAGACAGAAAAAAGGGATTAAAAATATATTTATATCTTATTTTTTAAATATAAATTAATATATTTTTAATTATTTCAGCGAATGATTTCTGCTTTCAGAAAAGTAACTTTAGTGAGTGATTTTGAGCTTTCATAATAGTAATTTTTGTGAATGATTTTGAGCTTTAATAATAGTAATTTTGTGAGTGATTTTGTGCTTTCATAATAGTAATTTTTGTGAGTGATTTTGAGCTTTCATAATAGCAACTTTTGAGTGATTTTGAGCTTTAATAATAGTAAATTTTGTGAGTGATTTTGAGCTTACATAAAAGTAACTTTGTTGAGTGATTTTCAGCTGTGGAAACAAAAGAAAGTTTAAGTTATTTTTATGAAAGCGTAGTTACTTTTACAGAAGATAAAAGGGTAAATAATCAATTGAATCTTTCTTCTAGACTAATAAATCAATAAATTACTGTCAGAGATTATAAGAAAAATGAATAAATGACACAGTTTATGTAGTGATTGATGACATTGCCGGCATATTCATCGTTCAAAGTCATATATCGCTAACGGGGCTTATTATAAAAATAAAAATATTAATTGCTACTGATGCTGATAGTAAATTTATTTATTTATAAAGAAATTAAATTTATATGAAAACTTTGAAGATATATAGGCCTACTGCTGAAAAAGTATGCAATTTTTAAAGGTTTTTAATATAAAATTGCAGTGGAAAAAAGTAAATATTTTGCAATAACGCGTGGAAAAATATGAAATTTTCATACTTCATGAAGTTTAGAAGGAATTTAAGTAAGTATTTTTTAATAATTTTTGAAAATAAATTATTTTCTTTAATTAGTTTTAAGGTAATTAAGGTTTTTTAAGGTGTAGTAAGGTTATTTTTAATGGGTAAACTATGAAAAAGATGATCACTATAACATGGTTTTTAAGTAAAGATATAACATAAATAAGCAATTTTTCATAATTTAATATATTTATTAAAGTAAAATAATAAATTTTACGTAATTCTTTAAAATAAGATTGTCTTTTTGTAATTTTTATTGCATAAAGTGAGATTAAACTCATTTAAAACAAATAGACAAGAGAAAATTCCTTAAAAAGGTCTTCTTTTTGGCTGTTTCTTCTCTTTAATAATGAAATCTTCCTTAAAGAAGGGGTTCTCTTTAAACACATCTGTTAAGAAGAGCTCTTCATTAAGGAAGGTCTTCTTTTTTAAAGAGAAATCTTCTTTAAGGAAGACTTTTCTTTTTAAGAAGGGATCTTCTTTAAGAAAGGTCTTCTGTTTAGACAGATATTTTCTTGTTAATAAGAGATCTTCTTTATGGAAGACCTTCTATTTTTAAGAAGGGATCTTCCTTAAAGAAGGGCTTCATCTTACACAGATCTTCACCTTCTCTTTGTTTTAAGAAACCTTCTCTTCCTTAAAACATTATTCTCAATTAAGAAAAATAATTTTTCTTAAAAGTTTAAATTCTTAAAAATCAAAATAATATATTAAAAGGCAAAATATATATATATAAAATAACTATCCACATGAATAAAGAAATAATAATAAAAATTACTTAAGATTTCATGAAAAAAAAATTAAAAATTGCAAAAGATATTCTTAAATAAACATAAAAATTTATTATATAAAGTTAAAATTTAAAAATAAATAACTCAAAAGTATTTAATTACAGAAAAATGACGTAAAGTATATCAAAAATTATTAATTAATTAAAATTAATGAAATAATAATAATAATAATAATAATAATAATAATAAATATCCCATTAAACTTTAGTGAAATTAATTCAGTGAAATTCAATTTTAAAAAATTCAATTAAATTTAAATGAATTAATACAATGAAAAGAATTAATAAAATTTAAATTAATTGAAGACGATAATGAATTTAAACGTATTTCAAATAAAAAAAATTACAATTTTATTTACAAATTAAAAAAAAAAATTTATTCTTTGTAAATTAAAATAAAATTATTTTTCAAATTTAAATATAATTAAATCTAATTGATATATAATTTTTAAATTCTAGATATTTATTTACTTTAAAATATTGTAAACATGAAGCTGAAGATAATTAAAAATGATATAATAATCCTTAAGAATTTAAATAAAATAATAATAATAATAATATATA